GCAACAATGTTGCTAGCTCTTTTTTAAATCAGAGGGATTATTTATTATAAATTTGTACCAACTGGACAAACAGTTAACCAAGTCTACTATTTGGAAGTGCTGAAAAGGGTGTGTGAAAAAGTTAGAGGACCTGAACTTTTCACCAACATTCACGGCTCTTGCATCACGACAATGCACCAGCTCACATGGCACTGTCTGGGAGGGAGTTTTTAGCCAGTAAAAAATAACTGTGTTGGAACACCCTCCTTACTCATCTGATCTGGCCCCCAATTACTTCTTTCTTTACCCGAAGATAAAGAAAATATTGAAAGGAAGACATTTTCATGACATTCAGAACATCAAGGGTAATATGAAGACAGCTCTGATGGCTATTTCAGAAAGAGTTCCAAAATTGCTTTGAAGGGTATACTAGGCACTGCCTTCCATGTATATCTTCCCAAGTACTTCGAAGGTGACTGTCGTGATATTCAGCAATGAGGTAGGTATGTAGCACTTTTTCTAGGATGAGTTTGGGAATGTAATTGTCCATCCTGGTACAGTAGAATATTGCTCAGCCAGGGAAGGGAATGGGTTCTTGCCATCTGCGGTGGCATGGATGGACCTGGAAGGTATTGTGCTGAGTGGAGTGTCAGACAGAGAAAGACAGATGCAATGTGATTTTGTTTATATGTGGAATTTAAAGAACAAAATAAACAAACTAAACAGAAACAAACTCATAGATATCAAAAACATTATGATGATATCCAGATGGGAGGGAGTTTGGGGAGGTGGGCGAAAATGGGGAAGGCCTTAAGAAGTACAAATCGGTTGGTAGTCATGGGGATGTAGGGTATACCATACGGAATAAAGTTAATAATATTGTAATAACTATGTATGGTATCAGATGGGTACCAGATTTATCAGGGTGATAGATGGGAGAGGGGTTGGGAGCAGGGTGAAAAACATGAAGGGATTAAGAAGTACAAATTGATAGTTACAAAATAGTCATGAGGATTTAAAGTAAAGCACAGGGAATATAGTTATAATATGGTAATAACTATGTACAGTGACAGGTGGGTACTAGACTAGTCAGGGTGATCACTTCTTAAATTACATAAATGTCTAAACACTATGCTTGCAGTACATCTGAAACTAATATAAAATTATACTGAATGCCAATTGTAATTGAAAAAAATTTTTAAGGGGGGAAAAGGTGAAGGGGAATAAGAGGTTCAATTTCCCAGGTATAAAACAAATAAGTCATGAGGATGCAATGCTCATCATAGGGAATATAGTCAATAATATTGTGAAAGTGTGATACAGTGTCAGATGGTTGCTGGACTTATTGTGGTGATCACTTCTTTAGGTATATAAATGTTGAATAATTATAGTGTACACCTGAGACTAATATTGTATGTTAGCTATATTTTAATATAAATTTTTTTAAAATAAAATTAAATTAAAGGTGAGTCAATTTTCAGGAAATGCCCAAGCTAGGTTTTACGTATGAATTGCAAGTTTTATAACTACTCTAACAGCTACAGACAGCTGTGTAAAGTATTTAAATTAATGGTTGAACTTGAACCGGTGCCTTTAAAATGTCTGGAGATTGACCTTGGCCACAAGATGTGCTGTTTCTTTTAAGCTGACCCAGCATTAATGAAATATCCGCAGGGGACACAGCCTAAAAGGTGAGTTTCCCTCAAACTCTGTTCTCCCATGGGTATGAGCATTCCTTCCAGCTCCTTGGAGAATTTACGCAGTTCTGAACTGCAAAAGGAACTGGTTTACTCTACTTCAATTATAGAGACCTCGAGCCTTTCGTTAACCTTTGTCTTTAGCCTTTTAAAGTGGAAATAATAGCCAGCCTTGTAATATTTCCACTGTTTTGCCCTCATTTCACCCTTTATCAAAGTAGAATTGGTCAGAAGATGGGGCTCTCCATATTTCTCTGTCCAAATGCTCCAAAGAAGTTAACAATACCAACTTCTCTGTGCACAAAGGCTTTGGAAACATTTGTTTAAATTTGACTTTTGAATCAACCCCAAATGACTGTTCTGTGGCAAAAGATATGTAACTTTATCACAGATAAACTTTTCTTGCTCACAATTCATAGCCTAGGGCTGCTGTAAGGATCATGCAGATGTGTGTTGGAAATTAAACAGTGTACTACCAGGGTGGCCGCAATTAAATTCAGACTTGCATTCAAACCATGGCCTGCTCTGCATTTCTTCAAGAAGTTTGCTTTCTATAGACATTTCAAAATGTCTCTTCACAAAAGGAGGCAGGGTGGCTGAGCCCATGTCCCCTCACTCAAAGCAACGAAAATAGAAAGGCAGAGAATGTATTTGCTGGATGCCAAAGTAGCTGTTCATATATGTGGAGATCTAAGACTGCCAATTCAGGGTGTTTTCTTATGAAATCAAAGTTTTCAAAGACAGCCAGCAATCATTATTTAGAAAAGAAAGAAATCATGAACTCATATTGAACATCAATCCATCACCATGTGTTATAAAATGGACTGGTTCCTTGAAAGAAAAGATTTCTTTCTGTGTATGCAGATATATCCCCTTTTGACTTAAAATACATTCTAAACTTGAAATACTGAATATTTAGCAAATTCTGACATTACTGAAGAGTCCTGGTTCATGCCAGAAGTTAGATGGCTTAAGAAAAACAAATGATCAATTTGAAATGATTTTTCCAGATAATTATAGACAGTACACTATTTAGAAGGAAGAAAACTATGGAGAACCAATTATAGATATGTGATTTTTCTAAGCTAAAACTAAGTTTATAAAATTTGCAAATATGGGGTTTTTTTTTGGCCAAACTATTTTAATATGGAGTTCAGGATAAATCTGCCTTCTGATTCTTTCTATGTGGAATCAGTTTTAATCACGTTTATTTATTTGAAGCCCTATAGATTACATAAAGTTGCTAGAAAAAAATCCCCAGCATTTTCATGCTTATGTCAAATGCCCACTTGAAATACTTTCTTAAGAATCTATTTTGAAAGTGCAACTCTATAACTTTTGAAAACTTTGGGAGTTATCCCAGGAGTTGGTCTGTTTAAAGAAGATAATTACTTGTGTATGAATGTCAAGCAAAATAACAGGAGTGATGAAGGTGCAAAATAACATAACCCTAAGATTTATAGCCACACAAACAATAGTGAAAACCACTTTTTGTAACGTGCATTGGAAAGTTACAACACACATTTACATGCATGCTTAAATGATCTGAAAAAGACAATCAAGATTCAGAACTGATTTTGACATTTGAGCAATCACAAACATGAGCTTTGGCCCTTGCTTAAAATTTCTATTTAGCTGTTGAGCTAAATGAAAATAAACAAATGGAAAGCTTAACAGATGAATAAGACTTTTCTCATGATTTTTTAAAACTGAAAATGCAACAGAAAACAAATATCACCACAGAAGTCCCTGCAAAGAGACTGCTTTGGGCATCTAAACTGGAGCAAACAATCTGCAAAGCTTCCCCATATTCCCATCTCTCTCCCACCAGAATCCTCCATTCTTGCTGTATTTCCTAATTTCGTGGACTGTATTGCTGAGCTGTTTATCTAAACAATGCACACACCCACAAAAAAACTCTCCACTCTACTACTCTATGAACTCTTGCAATTGTCTCCCTCCCACTGGACAGAGAACACTAGTAAGGAAAACCCTAAAAAAAAAAAGAAAAGAAAAAAATGCAGAGCAGTGAAAGCAAAGAAACAACAGAAACAGTGGCTTTGACAATGCCTTCCCTCAACACACCCTCTTTCTGCTCCTGCTGTGACACTTGCATTCAAGAGCAGAGGCGGCTGCCATGGGATGCAGGAACAAGGACTGAGGAATACAAGGCAGGGGGGAAAAAGGAAATCAGATGAATTCTGAGCTAAGATGGCAAGGCTCTCACCTTTTCCATTTGGGGATTTTGTTTTTGTTTTGCAAATAGTCTGGATGGAGGCATCCTGCAGAGGAGAAATAAAAAGGATGTCTGAATTGTTGGATGGTTCTGAAGGCTTCTGCATTTGCAAACGCATTTTAGAACTATTTGCAGGGGTATACTTGCTGCTAGCCATTTCTCTCTCTTTCTGTCTCTCTCTCTCTCTCTCTCTCTCTCTCTCTCTCTCTCTCTCTCTCTCTCTCTCTCTTTCATTTTATGTCCTGCTATCTTCATCACACCTCTATTAGCATGAAGACTTTCTGCCTGTGTGAGAGTGTGCATTTGTTAGTGTTCCAATAGAGACCCACATCTGCATGCATTTCTAATCTAAGGAGCCTATAGCAGTTACTAACTATCAATAGGTCAGCAATAGTTGAGACCCTCAATGCCTCTGAAGGAACAAAGGTGGAAAGGCATGCAAATACTCTAGAGCACCTGGATCATGCAACTTGCTGGCCACAAATAACTGCACCTTTTCCTGTTGGTTTTTCTTTTTCTGTTTCACTCTCATATCTATGTAATATTACAGGTTATTAATGTATCCAGCTGCATAAGTAGGTAGCAAGTGTCTATAAGCATGCATGTTTCTTTGGCATCACTGGAAACAAAATGCATTAAGGTGAACTAAAAGGAAATACCTAGTGACAAATAAGAGTTTATGACACATTTGATCCATGCTTCATTATAACCAACTGCCACCAGGACTTAAATTAATTATATGGTAGAGTTCTTTGTCCATTTCAGTGGCTTTTATGAAAGAAACTAATACAATACTAATGAAAAACAGAGAGAGAACTATTCAGCTATAAAAAGTATATAAGAAGATTAATTCTTCTCTATAATAGATGAAATTATTTTAGTTTAAATTCAACTCTGGATTTTGATTAACATGGGTGGATTTGTTTTGGATTGTGTGTGTGTGTGTGTGTGTGTGTGTGTGTATTTTAATTGTACATGTGAGTACCAGCTTACATTTGATATATCTGTGGTAACTTACATTGGATGTATTCTGTGCTAACCCTCTGAAACAATATAAAGAATTGTTTTATTTAGTTTTTAGAAACCAAAAAAAAAAAATCAGCCCTCTTGAAAAACAATGCGTGGCCTTTCCGTTTTCAAGGACATCAAAATACTGTTAATTTTGTGGCTGGAAAAGGGGCCACAAAAAAACCCGACAAGCTCAGGAGACTGAAAATAACCACAGAGGGTGGCGTGAACATAAAAATTCCTAACTAAGGTGGGCCATGGCGGGGAAGTCACATCCTTGGCCTGTAGCTTCCTTGACAAAGGTCAATCTTTACCTTAAGCCTGTCTGTATTATTTTGCATCTAAGATAACATTCCCTTACAATATCAGAATAATCTCTTTTTCCAGACCCCCCAGGGGTCACAACTCACCACACCAGTGCAGGAAACTACCAAGTCCCTCATTGTTACCTTGTTCCCCAAATACCATCTCCATGTGCTGTAAAATGCTATTAACTATGCTGTACCCACCAATGTAAAAGAAGTGTGTGTCTCTCCATTTTACTTTTTATCCAATCCCAGAGATTTCCCCGCTTTGCTTTCTCCCACCCCTTCAATCTACAGCCAATGGATTTCATGTAACCTTCCTCCTTTGATTCTAATGTATAAAATAAGTTGCAAAACAGCCATTTTCTGGAGCATTTTCTCAACCCGTTGAGATTTTGCTTCCCTGCGATTTTCATCAGTTTGGCTCAAATAAACTCTTATAAGTTTTCTCTTAGGCTGGGTGTTTTTTCATTGACATTATGAACATACAAGAAGAAAGAGGGAGACATAAGTAACCGTTGATCTTAATCATTTTTAAATATGAATAATTTCAAAGGGAATGTGTACTTTGTATCTGATGTTATCTGTGATTTTGTTCCTCTTTTCAGGTGCGTCAAAAGCTGCATTTCTTTCTTCAGCACGTCTTACTAGAATTGAAATTATTTTCAAACAAGATATGAATAATATCTTGAAGGTTAACATGTTTCTCTAACTCTGTAAATAAGACAAAGTTTCACCTGAAGACATGTATTTACAGTCACACTGCAGCAGGGGCTGAAAAACAGTATCACCTTATTTCTCTCTGTTGTTTACTTTTCTTCTTGAGATTAGCTCTCTAAAGAGCAATTTCTGTTTTGGTTTGTTTGTTTGTTTGTTTGTTTATCCTAGACAAAATAGCTCAAACAATAATTTTACCTCCTTTAACTTGTGAGTTAACTATAGAAGCTGAGAAAATTAGAGATAACACTCAAAAAGACAACCCCAACAAGGCAGCCTAAAAACTGAGTTACGAGGAGGAGGGGGTGGGAGGTGGTGGGAGTCTAGCAATCTTTCATAATGTAGAGAGGTGTCTGGAATCAGGATGAAGCAGTTCCCTCTCAAGATAAAGCAGGGGTAAAGAGTGGGGCTCGACAACGCCACCCCCATACAACTGTTATTTAAGAAAGAAAGAAAACAATTGTTAACCATGTCGAGAGAGAGAAAGGAAAGGGTACTAAATAGTTGGCGAGGTGACCCACCGTGGCGCTGGTTCCTTGGCTCTTGCTGAGGGGAATAACAGCCACAGCAGAGACAATGGGGTAGTCATGTGCCAAGTGCAACCTCTGCCCAGTGCACTCTGCCTCCCAAAACAGAAAGAAAAGCACGTCTCAGACAGAAACGAGCAGGTGCTATCATCCCATCAGCACCTATGAAAAGTCTGCAGAAGGGTCCCATTTAAAGGCAATGAAGAAGTAGAGACAATGACAAACCAAAAACTGGCAGGGCTTCCGGAATCATTTAAATCCTCACTCCAGGATTTAAGTGTGGATAGCAAGAAGCATAGGAGAAAGCTCCTTCACACCAAGGCGTGAGCATATGCCTGACTCTCAGTGGATGTATTTTTAGACATAATATCAGGGGTACGGCAGCCTGTGCACTTATCAACAGCATTTACTTCCTAACGTTGGTGCGGCCTCTTTTTCACTCAGAGAGTAGCTGACGATCAGAGGAAGCGGTCCACATTTCTCACCAAGCCAAAGGGCAGGTAGGCAGACCCTAAACCAAAATCCATTGTCGCTGCACTCAGAAAGCATGAAATACATTTTCAAGATGTGTTCTAAAATGAGGTCATGCTACAAGGCAATTTGCTCACTTCCAATATTTCTACAAATGGCTTATTCTACCATCCAAAAGCATGACCAGAAAAAGGATTCACACCTTGAGAAAGACAACTCAAACACCATAGACTAAGGATACAAATTATTTAGCAGGACATATATTATGAGTAACATGTACTAAACATCTAAACTTCTCCAAAGGACAATGTTTATTAAAAGCAAGAGATAAAAGATCTTTTATGTCATTCAATGTGCTTTGAATTTGAGTATTCCTTCCATTTACTTCAAGTTTCAAATTTTTAAAATAATAAACCCAACAGAAAACATAGCCCAGCTCGTTAAAATATAACTGGAAAGAAGGAAAAGAGGCTCGGTCTTCACCTACAAATTAAACATAATCTGCTATGTTCTTGGCCAAAGCGGGGAATTTTCCCTTCACATAGAAGATTAGAATATTCAAAAAGATCCTTTAAAATTTTTCATATCAGAGTACACTTATTAAATATGTATATGAGCCTAGCTGTACAAAATTCTAAGTTAATTTAAATGCATGGGGGAAATTGTGAGATAGGTCAAACAATCCAAAAGGAAACTAAACCAAAGCAAAGAATCCCTAACCACACACCAGTCTCTAAAGTTTCACACACCACTCAAATGAGATGGACGTAGTGGTGATGAATAAATATGTTTCACAACCACAATATTCCAAATGAAATTACTTAAAATGAAGAGCAAAATGCCCACTTCCCTAGTTTTTAGTCACAGTAGTTGTATTTAAAATGTTTTATATATGTAATCCACTAAAGAGAGTTACAAGATAATTACCATCTCTACAAAATAAGCATTCTGAGTTTTGATTTTTCTTTAAGAGTAGAAACAGTTTATAATTTCACATTGTAAATCTCATTAGGACTGAATGCTCTTACAAGAATTGACAAAGAAAAATTAATTCATATTAGACCAAAAGGCTTCTTTCAGTCAGTTTCATGCAGCTTTCTTCCAACAGACCTGGGCCAAAATGAATGTTGAATCTTGAGTTGAACTATCCATCACATTTTCCTAGTCTTTCAATTAATGACACTGCAACCAGATCGATAAAATGTCATAAGAAAAGAGCATTGCATTTCTATACCTATTAATTCACTGAGTAACTCCAGCAGTAAAACGTGACTTGAAAGGAAAAATACTCAAGGAAAATGAATTATCTTAGCATACTGAGCAACGATTCCCTGACTCAAAAGTGAACACTGGAGTTTCTACCTTAGAACCAGGTTTATTAAATCCAAAGATCAGATTTCTCTGTCAGGAGCTAGCTTATTCTTTTTTTCCACAAGATTCTCTTGTAGGTATTCGTGCCACCACAGGTCTAGGTAAATCGGTCGTTTTTTCACATTTTGGAAAAACATCCTTGAAATGTAAGTCAGAGTATCAGCTAGGGCAGCCATTGGTCTTCAATTCCTAAGCTAGCCAAACTGCCAAATTTGTGATCTTAGTTTTCTAGGGCATTCTGCATAGAGAAATTAGGTTTACAATGAGTAGGACAGGAAAAGAATGATAAGAAAGCTAATGAGTTCAGCCCCATCCCAAATCATTGCTGTGGTATGAGACAGTGCAAACAGTGACATATAACAATGCAACACGATGTCTGGATTCTCCCTGCATATCCCAGTGACAGAGGACTGGGAAAACAAAGTATGAGTTCTCTGTGGGAAGGATGAGGCAAAGAAAGCCTGTCCTAAGATACTCTCTAGAATCATGTGCATGTCCACATCTTAATGTCACTGGAAGTAAACAAACAGTGACTTCACGAACTCGGAGCAGAAAGAACAGTGGCTGCCAGGCACTGGGGGTGGGGGAAGTGGGGACAGGTTGGTTAAAGGATATAAACTTCCAGGTATAAGATGTATAAGTTCTTA